TTAACTCAATTTTTCAAAAATGTAGGTTGGTTCCTTTCAGATTAACTTGGTCCAATTAAGCGTATAAAATTATGAGTACCACCAATTTTTATGAGATGTGGTATATTACCGATGCAAAAATGGAGGAAAAACAATTTATGTCCCAGAACTTTGGGGAGGAGGGGTCGTAGCCTCCTTTAATGCACTTTTGGAAAAAGAAAATTATAAACGAAAGAAAACTTTTTTTTTGAACCATAGAACACGCTCCTACAGTCTGACATTAAAACCTAGGATCACCCTGTATATTAAGAGACGTCCTCGGTTTGATCTTGGAATAAGAATCATTATACCTCTGGTCTTCAAAAAACCTCCTCGGATAGGCAGATTTTTTAGCGAATAGAAAAAAATAAACCACTGCGGGAAATAAGAATATCGAGATACCGCCTAGTAGTAGCGAGAATTTCACGCTAGATACAAGAAAATTAAAACGTGTCAAAAAGTCAGCATCTCGGTAACCGAAAACGAGGAAATGCCAGATAGATAAAAGTTGTGTATCTGCCTCTGTCATGTAGTAAAATTGGTAGAATTTTCCACAATTTTCCAACACCGCCCCACACCACGCTCATCAAATTTCATCCGACATCGATGCGTAAAAAACGGTTGACCTTGTCAATCGCACGAACCTATTTTCGAAAAATTTACTCTGCTTTCCACTTGCTTCTTCGCAGGTCCGTTTCGTGTGATTTCTGAGGGAATTGGATTCTTTTACGTCCGAGCTACCGAGCTACCGAGCTGAAGAAAAACGGCGTATGAGCCTTTATACGTTGCCAGATTTCCCTACACAAATCACAAATTTACGGGCGAATTTGTTAATATTTATATTCCAATTTTTCAAAGAAGTTTGTTGTCTGAAGTGTCGGAAAATTTTAAGGAAAAATATTTATGACTTTACTCAAAAATAAATATTTTCTGAGAGGAAATTTGGCAACATTTGAATGTTCATACGGCGTTTTTGAGAGCACGGCTGCATGATACCCCTACACGTGCCCCATGCCACACCTTTTTAAAGAGTTTAAATCAAGAGCGACGATAATTCAATTTAAATCAGTTTTAATTGATTCGACTAGTCTGGAGGATGGGCGTTTTATGACTTTTGTTCCCTCTGAGACAAATTAAATGGAGATGGATGCTTGAAGTTTAAATAAATTAAAATTTAAAATTTCCTCCGCGGCGTGGTGGCCTGGAAAAAAATTTCGACGGAGAATAACAACGTGACAAAAACTATTCATTAATGAGTTCATTAGTGCTTAACCTTCAAAGTTGATTCCGATTTCCACGAGAATAAAGGGTTGGTTGGAAACGTGTTCCGGTTAAAATTTAAAGAAAAACATTGTGATCGACGTACCTATCGTGGTAGTGCATACCACAGTTTTATTTCCATTTTGAATTTACCAAAAAGTGAATTTGCTCTTATTGATCGGTTAATACAGGAAAAAACATTAGTTGATACAGCCTATCAAAGTTTTCGATTTTGGTTCAAATAATTGAGGGGCTTGGAGGACAAGGCGATCAAGGTGCGCGAGTGCGGTTTTCGAAAAAATTGAGATATTGATGATTTCAAGTGAAACTAATTTCAATACATATTCTATAAAAAATTCACTCTTAAATTCCAATTTTTAAGCATAAAAAAGTCAGTTTGAACTCTCTCTCCTCCATAAAGATGCATGTAATTTCAAAACTTCAAATATTAATTTCTCGAGGTGGCAAAAACTGCACTAATGCGTTTTGTCCTCCAAGCCCCTCAATTGAACTTTGAGTCACAGAAATCGAACTTTAGGGCAGATAAGCAGTATGTCCAAGCCATAAGAAAAAATATGAGCCCTCGCGATGCTCGGTTTCTATGAGCAGTTGGATTAACTGCAGCATCGAAAACTTGCGCGAGCTTCGTGAATTTAAGTTTGATTGTTGTACAAACAAAGGTTTTCCCTCGGCGTGCCACGATGGATGTCATGGATTAGCCATCGAGTTTTTTGAAGGAGACTTCAATACTTACAGAAACTTTGTGTTTGGCCAAATTTTCTTTTTCTTTGTAGTTAGTAATGTTTTAACAATTATAAAGAAATCTATTCTATGATTAGAGCAATTGGCTCATTAGCATTGAGTATGCGAGAGAACTTAATATCACTGCAGAGACTGAAATCTTTGACGGAAATGTACCCGAAGAAAAGTTAAAATGAAATAAGTATTTCACGTGGATTTTTTGACCTCACTAGCATATACCCTAAGAAAATTTTGATTCCAGGGGTTTGCAGCTCTGAGAAACGGCTTTACACTCGTGTTAATTACGTTTCGACTGCATGTAAGCCGGCATTTCAAGGATGTGAACTTATAATAAAATGTAAACAAGTTATAAATCAAACCTGAATACCCAGTTGCAAGACCATTCGTAAATCTCATTAAATTTTATGCACAAGCCGCGCGGGAAAATTGATCCAACTTGCGACACTTCGCACTGCATTTAATGAGGCGGAATCTTCCTTGATGTAGGTAATTAACCAAGCCGATCGAATAATTCAGCGTTTTTTTCTTATCTCCATTTGTTCTCGTACAAAGGAATGTTTTAGTAAATAAATGTGTCAACCAATACTAACCGTAAGTACATAAATCAACTAATGCGGAAAAACGGTTCTGGGTCTAGGATAGCTCGAGATATCCTACCTGACTGACGGCTAATATTTTCAGGTAGAATGAAATTTGTTGCTTCTATATTTATTCATATGATCCTCATAGGAACTCTTTCAGTCCTCAATTGAAACTGTAACACATTTAATTCGACCAAGGTCTTCGAGTACTCTGCTAGGTCTACAAATAAAATTTTGAGGTACTATTGAGGGAATGCGAGTTAGGGAGGCCAAACTGCATTACAACGATGCAAATTTTTATTTGACGATTGGTCCGTTCGCTTTCTTGCAATTTAGGTGCAATTCTATTTTTTTTTAAGTACCTTAAAATATATGTAGCTCCCAATATATTTTCTTTCGTCTCTTGTATTTTTTGTAGTGATAAATCGTTCTAACCCCTTTCAAGGTTCCATCTTTGAAGTTTCAAGACTAAATTTCACTCGAGGTTTGTAAAAATTATCCTTTTTATGATTCTACATCAAGGATTTCCTTGAACCTCCCTTTAATCACAACGTAAGTCAAAAGTGGTCTCCTAAGTGAGGAAATGAGCTGCTAAAAGAACGAATATTAACAAGATCCCTAAACTTTATGAGGAAACAAATTATGGGTCATTTGCCAAAATGAATTTTTTAAGGTATTTAGTCGTTTTTTACCAGTAATTACATCTCTGTCCAATATGTGATGAGTGTTTTAATGGATTATTTTTAAACACAGTTTTTCCGATCACTTTCTTCAAAAAAGCTCAATTAGCATTATCCGCGGTAGCTCCGGTTTCGCGGATATTCGAGCCTCTACCGCACCTTTAAGCCTGAAGCCGAAGAAAAACTCTTTTATTTGTATACTTAAACTTAAATAAATCCTTCAAGTTGAGTCGCATGCCACGGGTGTTTTTTGTGTTTTTACTTTTCATTGATAAGGACGTATTCTTTCTGCGCAAGGATTTGAGTGCTAGCTGTGTTATTTAACAACCTCGAGTGAAACCGGTTTAAAGTTCCGAGACGCATGTATATCTCCGCGCCGCGCCGCGTCGTGGGTGCAATTTTTATGCGCCGAGTTTGGATCTGTGAAAACGATACCATACACGATTCCTGTTCCTCGAGTGTCACTTGAACGTATTTAAGCTAAAAGGAACAATGCCACACGCAAACCCTATGCACATAGTTCCTTCTAGCAAAAATGCGTCCACTTATGCTGCCGTGCTGAAGAAAAGTCGTATGGATCTGCAGGCGCTGCCAAATTTCCCTAGATAAAACACGAATTTACTCGGAAAATTCTGAACATTATCATCTAATTTTTCAGACAGTCCTGTTCAAAATTTCATTTATAACATCTGAAAATCTCAAGGTAAAATATGCTTTGCTTTCCGCAAAAATAAACATTTATCGAAGGAAATTTGGCAACTCTCGAATATTCTTATGGCGTTCTTCCATAGCACGGCAGTATAGAACTCATAGTGGTCGGATCAATATTTGGAGAAGATTCCGTTTGCTTAGCCTCTTACCTGTGAGTAAAATGAGTAAATGGCCAGGACTCTTATTGGAAATCAAACTTTTAATAACTTTGCTCAACGATTTTTTTTTTTTTTTTTTACATTGATTGGAAATATATAAGTATTTAAAAGTTGTTCCAATTGCCTCTGAATCCGAAGACTTTGCGTTAGTTGATTTTCACTCAATTTTCTTCAAAATTCATCGAGATTCTAGATGTATTGAGATGGTACTAATTTACACACGTTGCATAGTATAGTATTTTAATTTAAACGTTACATCGCAGCTAATGACAACAATGAACTTTAAACTCAAAATTGAGGTGAAATTATTTTGAAATCTGCAGAATTTATTCCGAGACCTGGTTCCTTTCTAATACTCTCAGTCCGAATAATCTATAAAATCCAGTATATTCAGAAAAAAGTATGGTTCGAGCGACAGTGATGAGTATGATTACACCAATTGACTCCACTGTAGCAAATACCGTAACTTCTAATCGCGTTTACCATGAGTGTGGTAAATGTTAGCAGGTGTCTGCTGATCTATACTCTACACTACAGTCCTGCCGTGCTAAGTATGAACGCCGCAAGAGTCATCTGGCGTTGCCAAATTTCCTTCGAGAAAACACGAATTTTCAGGAAAATTTGTGACCGATTTTCCACAGGATTTCGTTCGTAATTTGACCTAAAAAGTCTAAAAAATTCAAAGAAATTTGGCAACATTCGAATGCTTATACGGCGTTTTTGCCTAGCACGGCAGATCACTGAAGTAGACCCATAGTAGAGTCTACCATACTTCTGGTAAAATTTGCCATATTTTTATTCAGAGTACTCAAAAGCAGGAAAAAACTTACGTTTGTCGCTGCGCCCATTTCGGAAAAATAAAAATCCACTAGAGAAAACACTGGGAAATTGTGAGGAAACTCGGGAAAATAAAGGACTTTAACGAAAGGAGGAACCGGTTGCGGGAGAGGACGGAACGAAAACTGACCAGGCTTCGCGAGGATGCCAAGAACCAGGTGTCGGCCAAGGGCCCGCGTCAGGCGTCGCGTCGCCCTGCGCCAAGGTCACGCGTCGCGTCGTCACCCGCGACGCGACGCCACGCAACGACGCGTCGCGGCGCCGCAGCCAAAAAACGCCACGCCGCGCCGCGCCGCCGCGGCTCACCGATGCGTGGGAGGCTTTTGTGTGCTTTTACACCCGCAACCATGCTCGATGTATCATACTGCTATGCTCAGGAAATGTACAGTAACTCCTCGGGGAAGTCATTACAGAGACCCTATTGCCTCAACATGTATCTGTATGTACTTTTGTAGAAAAACAAGGGGGAATCCGGGAAACAAGGCTAAAATACATAATTAAAAAAAAAAAAAAAAAAAAAAAAAAAAAAAAAAAAAAAAAAAAAAAAAAAAAAAAAACCTGATACTACCGAATGAAGGGAAATCCAATTGGACGCACTTACGATAAAGAAGAACACATCCACGCAGCAAATTGATAGTACAAGCAGCTGATGGCTTTTTTGCGTAAATGCGGGTATCTCAGCAATAATTGAACGGGTTTTTTATTCTGAACTCGAGCACCGTCATCACCAACGGGTTTCACTGAAAGATGAATCTCTGGAACTGCCATTCCAAAGATGGAAGTCTTGGAGCCATCTATGATCTCCCGTTCTCTTTTGCCCCCTATTATGGAAGTTTTCCACGGGAAAAATTGACTCATCTCCATTTTAAGAATTCTCCAACATTGTGAACTATTTTAGCCGCTTTGAATCAGCAGAGGGGAACCCATATTTTTTCGTGGATAATTTTCCACCGTTGGCGATTTTTGCAAGTCGGCAGTAATTTGTTTCGTTCATTTAATGTAAAAGATCGACATTTTGAGACGGACGACCTCACCGAAAATCGGAGAATAGATTGCTCGCATTTAATACATAGAAATACACTGTTGTGAACCTTTGAGAGCCGATTCCATTTTTCAACATCAATAAAAACATCAATAAACATTTGAAACATCAATAAAAACCATCACGTGAACGTGCTGGAGGAGGAGGGGTGCCTAAGACTCGTTTATTCGTGTTGGACACATTTTTTGCGAAAGCCCTGTCAACACTTCTAGCAAAAGTTCACGGTATTTTGCGCGAAAGTTAAGTTCCTTATACCTATCTCTGTGTGTACAAGGTCTTTCGTTTATGATAAATGAACGAAAAAATGATGAAAGAATAAATATAAATGTGGTTTAATAGTTTTAACTTCCGCCGCCGCGCCGCGCGGACCGCACTGTGTTTGTTGCAATGCGTGAAATATTCCTACAGCCTTGCAGGCGCTATGCGTTTTTTCACGCTAACCGCTGCTGAACGCACTTTGTTTGACGCAATACGTGAAGTATTCATGAAGTCTAGTAGGCGCCATGCGTTTCACGCTGACCGCACTGTTTTTGACGTAATGCGTGAAGTATTCATGCAGTCTTGTAGGCGCTATGCGTTTCACGACGGCCGCTGCTGATCGCACTATGTGTTGACGCAATGCGTGAAGTATTCATGCAGTCTTGTAGGTGCTAATATGTGTTACATGCCGACCGTCGCGCTGAAGGCGTCTCCTTTTCATCTAAAGTCCTCATCATCATTGCTCTCTGCGCCGCGCCACTCCATGCCAAATTGCGTGTTTGGTTTCTCTCTTAACTCGACTAATTAAAGGTGCTGTCTCTTGTATCGCCAAAAAACAACAAAATTAGAAATTACTATATTCTCAAAAAATGAGAGATTTTGTCTCCTTTTCTCGTTTATAATTTTTTTCTTAACCCGATTTTGTTTATATCTACATTGAAAAAATTCAAAATTTGCCGCCTCCTAAATTTGCCGCCATGGGCCGCGGCCCATGTGGCCACCCCCTTAATCCGGCCCTGCAAATCGGTATCAGAGCATGAAGGTATGCCCTACAAAAATACAAACAAACAGGAACAAAAAACTCAAAAAACGTCAAATTGAACCGGAATTTCGGCCCTTTGAAGTTTCCAATCGAAGAGATTCATTTAAAAAAAAAAATAACTAATGTGACTCTGAATCTGCCATAACCAAAGCATTAGATTGCCGGGTTCTGATTCAACGTCATGCCATCGACTGACACGAAAATGAGTTGACCAGCAGGCTGATTATTGAAATTTATAGACAAAGCTATGGACATAGACGACGAAGAAAAAATGGAGTAATTCTTTTGGTGGAAGTGGGCAGTTCCAGTGGACAAAGAAGGCACTGATAAGAGAGACCCTAGTAGCTAGTCCATTATCCCCCTCCTTAATCCATAACAGCCTCCCGTTTCAACCAACCGGATCGCTCCATTTTCCTCTGTCTTCTCTGTCCATTGCTTTATCTACCAATTTCAAAAATCAGTCCCCGGCTTGCACCCTATTCTTTGGGACGGTGAAGGGTTCTACCTCGTAAGCTCCAGATCGGATTTTATTTGAGCCGACCCGGCACATATGGCTATACAGAAAATTTTGCCTCGGTGGACGATCACAAATAGATGAGATTCCATTTTCACACTGATCGATACTGTTATCTTGAACTTTCTTCAGCCGAGAGCTGAGCTAGATTCTCCCTCGATTCTTCGCTCTTGACTCACGGCCGCGGAGTCATAATTTCCGTGTTGGGTCCGCTAATGATCTGCATAGAGGCGCTTGACAAGACATCAGTTCCTCGCCGATAAAAAAACACGTCCGCTCGCAGAAAAAGGAATCGCTCTATGCTAAAACCCCGCAAGCCCGTTTTCTCTTGACCCCAAGAGCTAACAAGACATGCTTCAATTCGAGGTTCATCGTCAAATCAGCGTGCGAGGTTCCAACATGGAGTGGCTCGAATATTCGTGCTCTGAATGAAGACGCATTGTGATGAATGAGTTCGAGTTTACCACTTGAAACCGACAGTTGCATCAAATTGCATCTTGTTTTGTTTTGTCTTTCTTCCGCTTCAGTTTTTTCCCTCCCGACTCCGTCCACTTAGGTCGAAACTGAGGTCTCTATTTTTCCCGCGTTTCTTTTGCGTTTTTATTGAGTTAAGTTTAGGGCCTCATCACACATTGGTATGCTCAGTATTACGCAACCGCTATGCGCTGATTATTTAATATAAAAACAAGAAAACACGGGAAAAAATGGTGAAAGCTTATTTTTTTAAAATTAAGACAAACGTCTCTCTGATGCGAAGACACATTTTTTTAAGGTGAAAGACACTTCTTTGAGTAAAATAATTTTTTTAATTCAAACGAGTTTTTTCCTAATTCAAAGAAATGTGACTTTGTCATCGATGACAAAATTAACTTTCTTCGAATTGAGAAAAACTCATTTGAATTTTAAAAAAAAAGAAAAAAAAACTTTCGATTAAAATCTTTTTTTTTTACTTTATACAAATTTTTCTGCGTCAAAAAAATTTTGTTGTGTTTCTGCAAGAAAAAGTAACAATAATTTTTTTCCAGTGAATATAATGAGATTAAAACTCGATTTAACTGTTTATTTCAACAGCGCTTTGCGAAAGTGACACATCATCGTTCAGAGATTTGAAAAAAAAGAAAAAAAAACCCACGTGCGGGAATGTAGTACAACTAACGTGGCAACTGTAAAAATTCAAAAACACAAATATTCCGGTTAGCAACGCTGCAGATTTCCTATCAAAATTTATTTATAAATGAAAAAAAACCTCAACTTCAAATCTTGAAAACTACCCCAATCTTAAAATTAGGGTAGTTTAGGGTAGGGTAGCGAAACAACTTAGTGCTGAGCCCTAACATTTTAGATCAAATGGAGCCCAGCTAAGGCAGTAGTATACTGACCTCTACAGCTTTAGGGTCCAGCCTTACAGACTGTAGGGCTCAAGCACTACTACTTTCAGCTGGCTCCATTTGATCTAAAATGTTAGGGCTTAGCGCTAAGTTGTTTTTACAGCACAAAGAAGAAATATTCTTCTTTGTGCGGAGAACATTCCGTGGAAAGTTCAAGAAGCAGTGTTGGTTCGATCTTCTTTGATAAAATAAAATGGGAGGAGGGATTTTGAAAAATCGGTAACGAGATACTCGTTTTTGCAGTTTCACTGACACATTTGATAGCGAAGGTGAACCGAAGATTTTAGAAATGTTATACTTCTCACGGCGGATTTTTATATTCCCTGAAATTAAGTTTCTATTCGACAGCAGTGTCAATTTTGATAGTTGGCAACACTGTTTTTCCTCCATTTAAATCAATTGAAAATATCGATTTTAGGTGAAGCATGCCCCGCTATGAATAGATTGTTTTACGGATGGTTTCACGATAACTGGAATAATTTTGTCGCCGTAACAGACAACACATTTTTCGATCATATTTTTAGTAGTAATGATAATCACTCGAATTTTTTGCATTAATCTACACAGAGTTACGTTTTATAACGCTTTTCAAAAATGTATCGCTCTATTTTTCAATTTCAATTTATAAATGGCCGAAAATGTGCTGTCCGTTACGGTGACTTTTTACCGCGTAATAGTCAGCACATTTTAAGAATTTACATAATATTAATTGGATTACATTTTGCAATAAGGAACCACCATGTCTGGCCCATTTTAGAAACAACATACTTGCCATTGGTTTCCCTATGCAGATAAGTGCTTTTGTGGGAGAGAGCCAAAGATAGTGGTTAGGGTGTTCCGTTTTCAGACAGTTTCAGCAATGGCGCTGAAACTTCAGAATTATCTTTTGGGGACCAAAAGGAATGGGAAAAAGCCCGGGGAGCAAGGTGTTGAGATGGTTGTCTAAAAACGGAACACCCTAATAGTGGTTCCTTTTTGCAAAATGTAATCCAATTGAGAAGTAGAGCAATAAATCATTAGAAATCGTTATAATACGTGACCCTTTGAAGATGAATGCGAAAAAATTCGGGTGATCATCATTTCTACTAAAAATATGAGCGAAAAATGTGTTGTCTGTTTCGACGACAAAACTATTGGAGTTATCGTGAAAGCACCCTTACATACGTTTAAATGGGGGGATAAAGAGTGTTGGCAACTTTTCGGAGTGGCCACTGTATCAAACGACCTTGCGGCATTTTCCGGCAGCGTCTCTTTTCTTGCCCTCTTCACAGGCGACGTCGGGGAGGTTGATGATGGAACCAAGCACTGCATCGTCGCCGCCACCCCTCTCGCTGTTCGCTTTTAATCCCATGTCCAAAGTGGTCGCGGAACGAATTTCATCCATCACTCCCGCAAGTCTATCTCCTACAGATTGGATCCTCTCTGAAGATCTTCCCGATGCGCGCTCCTCAGGTGACGCGCTCCATTCCTTGGGGTGTTCTGCCTCTGTTAAAACATTTAAATCTCAAATAATTACCGTGCATTAACCGTACTTTGACATTGCGCAATTTTCAAAAATCCGTGCTCCTGTGGCCCAAGGGCGTATTTCAATTGCCACGTGAGCCCTCTTCTCGGCATAACTCAATGATTTCCGGGGCTCAAGTGGATAAAGAGGTTTAGCCTGTGCCACACCATCAAAATACTCCATCAAAATGTTAAGGTCGAGTGCTGTGATTGGTCCAAGTCATCGAATAAGCCAATCATAGCACCTGACCTTGATATTTTGATGGAGTATTTTGACAGTGTGACGCAGGCTGTATGCCCTTACGCCAGAGGAGCGACTGTATATGGCCGTTCATTGGACCATTCGACGCCATACAAATTCAGAACTAAGCTATCGACATTGTTGCGTTGGGGAGTACACAACTGACCACTATTCTACGGAGGCCCGACCACAGACTTTGACTTCTTTTGATATCGATGGAATGAAACTCCGTTCCATAGAGAAGCACCAGAGTCGGATTGGCCATGCGTCCGATCTGCCATTGGCAGATTCGCCCCCCCCCCTGACGCATCCAAGACGCACACATAGCAAAATAAGATGAGAGAAAAATTATGACGGGAACGGGAGAAGCGAAAATAAGAGTAAAGGAAGGTCTTCGTATACGCATGAGAGTGATGGATGGGGGTCCTGGAACTATAAACCGGAAATAAGTCCCCAGAGACGCCTGGGCCTAGAAAAATGCTGGAAAACACATGTCTTGGTTTTTTTAATTTGCTGAATTCAAATTTTGTATCCGTAGCCTAATATAATTTTTTTTTTCAAAATGATAATTGATTAGAACACATCCTATTTTCGGTTGTGTTGCTCACGTGGCCCTCGAAGCACCACCACAAATGTGACAAACGAAACCAACACAATATGAAAATAGAGCAAATGGAAAGACGGCGCAGAGAAACAACTATTCGTGCTTGATGGATGTCTGTGTTGCATCTGCAAAATTGAAGGCGCGATGACGCGAGCTGTGAATTCGCGATGTCCCGCAGCTTTGTTTTATGCTTCCAATGTCGTGAGAAAAGTTAAGAAACGAGGCTCGATTATAACGGCTCCCCTATATACGGCCGTGTTGCTCATAAAGTCCTTAAAGCACCGCTAAAAGTACAAATAAGACAAACTGAAACAAACACAGTATGGAAATAGAGCAAAGTAAAAGGAGGCGCATTGATGACGGCGCAGAGATACAACTATTCGTACATGATGGATGTCCGTGCTGCATCTGTAAAATTGAAGGCGCGTTGGCGCTATGCGTAAACTCGCAATGCTCCTTTCTATGCCGCCAGTGAGGTGTCGCTCAATTCGAGAGAAAAATTTAAAATGCCCGATTACGTCTCGACTTTGTTGTTCCTTAATTTTTTCTTATTTCCTCAATTTGAGGTTAGATTCTTTTTTTAATGCACAAATATTTACAGACCCACATCTACAGCTCGTGCGTATACCGCAGTCTTTCACAACTCGCGTAGCTAGTTTTTTAAACAAGTCTCTTGTCAATTATTTGACCGGGCTTCACATCTAGGGGTTAATGAAAATATCATTAAAATATGACTGCATCTTGTTCGCAAAAAACTCTGGATTCACGAGGGGGCCAAAAGAAGCCATTTTCAATCAGTCAGTGAATTTTAATAAAATTTAGTTATGTTTAATCTTGCGAAATTAGGCCTCAAATGTTCAGAGATGTCCCAAAAATTGTCATTGCCGACAAAATGATTGTTGAATGGGACCTCTTGCAGCCTGCTTTAGATCTCTGGTGCATTTAATATAAATGTATCTTTTCATTTTTGCTTTTCTTACTGAACACCTTGTCTCTCCTTCAACATTTCACCTTGTACTTTCTAAATTGAATGTTTCATTTTTCGATCAGATTAAAAAAATCTTATTGGCGTACATATTTCTCGGGTTCATGAACCCGAAAATGATGCATCATTTTCCGACTTTTAGTTTTTAAAAGCAGTATTATAAGTTGCAAGGTCTGGCTCGAATCTTCTGGAAATAATGATGCATGGATGCGTTTGGTACCTAGCTTTGATTTTATATATTTTTGTTTTCATTTTACAAGTCTCTCGGTTACTAAAAGTGTTCAATTTTGCAATTTTTGCTCTGTGCGATTACTAATTAAACTTCGAACCTGAAAATAGCGCAAAATTGTGCTGATTTGCCAGAAATTTCACTATACGCCCCTTTAAGCCGGCTAAGGGTCTACGCCCTGAGATGTGCGCCAGTCCGACCCTGGTAGCACCCTATGAAACGGACCTGTCCCATAGCTTTCAATGGAACAGCCAAAGTCTGTGGTCGGCGTTGCTAAATCTCCTTCGACAATCACGAGCTTCCGGGAAAATTTGTGAACGTTTCTCTTCCGATTTTGCACGTGATTTTGCACGTAATTTGATCGGAAAAGTCTGAAAATTTCAATGGAGAATATTCATAACTTTTTTCAAGAATGAATATTTTCCGAGAAAAAATTTGGCAATGCTTCCATGTCGTATTTACTCAGCACTACAGCATATTGAAGAAAATATTTCCGACCAAAAAGCGCTCGAAAACTGGCGGTTTGATGTTACACATAATGCAAAAAGTGTAGTTTGGAGAAGAAACTGTTTAAAGATGTAACTTTTCATGTTCACTGCACTGCTAGATAGAATTGAGACTTAACGCCCACTACATATTGGTGGAAAATTTAACTGAAACGCTTGCAACCCACGTTTTAGAATATTAAAGACTTTCCCGAAAAAATCTCAAAATCTGATTATTTACTTTACACTGCAGATTATTTCTGCTCATTTTGCCCCTTCGGACTATCGTTTTTTTTTTCTGTAGACGATTGTTCATTTTTTTCTGGAAAAAAAAAAAAAAAAATCACAATAAACCCCTGGACAAGGTATACGAAGTTCAGCATTCTGATAGGTACATGTTCCTTAGTCAAAATTTGACGTAGAACAAGATTTCCACGACGGAAATAACTGAAATTAACTTCTTACCAAGATTACTCCTCGCTCAAGAAAACTCAGTGGTCTACGTGAGTCAAACCGCACACTAAACGTTACCGTAGCAGTCTCCGCGGTGTGAAAATATCGCAACCTCTATCTTGACGTTTTGGCTCAGCTATATAGCAAATTGTTCACCCTTCAAACAATAAAAGGTGGAAAAGGAATTATCCTCAATTGAAGAAGCCCGCTGAAACCGTTGTAAGACGCGATGCGACTCAAACGTAGAGTATTGCGTTTCTTTTGACCGGGCAACTCAATCTCCCGTGACCAATATAAAATGAAAACGTTAATACATCTTAGTTAGGAGTTAATTTTAGATGTTAGAATCGTGACATTTTTGTCAAGAAACATGTATCAGAATAATTGAATTTGTACCTTGTCTAGTGGTCCATTGTTTTTGGAACTTATTTCAGATTTTTCTCGGTCTCACAAAAAATATTCCGTGAAGATTTTTTTATACTACAATGGAGATGTTGCATGTGTGAGGAATTTGCGATTTGACTATTAATTCTTATGTAAAAGTTCGCGTGAAACACGATGGTCCCTTTGATTTTTTCTGAAGTCAACTCCCAAGCTTAAACAACGCTCACAAAGTTGAGGCTGTAATGGAGGGAATATTCCACGCTATCCTAAGAGTCCACGTCTACGTCAAGACAAACTCTCCATGCTAAGATAGGGAGCAAATAAATTAGCAGGATTGCCGTGTTTTCAGTTTTAGAGTCCGCAAGTAAAGTGGCAGCCCTGTCAATGTATTTGCTCCCTATGTTTGCATGGAGAGTTTGTCTTGATGTAGAGGTGGACTCTCAGGATAGCGTGGGGTATCCCCTATCCCCTCCATTACGCCCTGAACTTTGGGAGCTTTTTTTTGAGCTTGGGAGTCGATTTCAGGAAAAATCAGTGGCGCTATCGTGTTTCTCGCTAACTTTTACATAAGAATCAATAGTCAAATCGAAAATTCTTCACACATGCAACATCTCTCCATTGGAAAGCGTAGTCTCAAACCTTTACCAGCAATGAGGTGAGGTGTTTTTGCCAGTTTGTTTAAATGAAGGCGCAGAACCAGCTCTTTTACTCATCTCTTCGGAGCTGCATCTGCAGCCTTGTGTTCCGTCTCCCTCCGTTTCGACAGGTAGGCAAAAACACCTCGCATGTATATGAACCCTACTCTTACCTACAGGGATTCTTTCGCTCGGCATGTCAGTAGCAGATTCCGATACAATGGGTTCCAGAGCAGTCTCTCCTATTTCCGGGTCGATTACAGTCCTTAAGTGGATCGGCGCCACGACCAATGGGCTGGACTCCGGTAACTTCGAGTCTCCATCTGCAACGGGAGCCAAGTCGACGTCATCCTGGATGTGATTTAGGTCGACGTCATCCTTGACGTGAGCCGGAATGACGTCATCTTGAAAAGTTGCCTCTCCGAGTGCTGCAGCCGCTATGATATCGGTCGTTAAGTCTTCGTCCCCGATTGAGACTATTCCAGAAGAGGTGTCGCTTTCCAGTCTGTCCGCCTCTCGCATGACGGTGAGGTGCCGGAGAATTTTGTCCATTGTTAGGTTGTTCGGGAGGGTGGCCTCCTCGACCATGGCTTTACCGCACATGCAAGGGGAGGAACATAACGGTTGAACTAAGCGGGAGGCCAGGAGACAGAACAGTGTTAGGAACATTATTTTTTATTTTTTTTTTAAAGTTTTTTCCCCCTTTGAAATGTATACCCTTAGCGCTTAAGTCGCTGGTTTGGTGTTGTATTCCTAAAATAATCGGTGCAGCAGAATTTAGGCGAGTAAATATAGTACTTTCACTGAAGTATTTGAGAGTTTAATGCACTTCACGTAACGCACAGATAAAATATCATTCAATATCCATGAAGATTCATATGTGAAATCACAGCAGGGATGCAACTTCGCCTAGAGATGCTGCTCCTTTACGAACCTCAACAGATCTGAGTCACAGCGAACACTTTTTACGATTTTTTTATTTTTCAATCGTAGAGAAGCCCTTCACAAATCGGGTTACAGCTGTTGTCGTTTCCGCTCGAAGAAACTAGCATAATTTTCACACTTTTCAAATCTGTTTGTTGATGGCATTATATATGCAATTAAATTAAGTACACATTTTTAGTGATGCAAAATGTTAAGCACGGATGGATTGATGTCAATGAATATCCAGAAATAAAAAAAGAAAATAATTTAAAATTTGGGGGGAATTCGTAAAATAAAAAAGCTCCAAAACAAAAAAAAAAGGTGTTGGCGAAAATCTCTAGAAGTTCCAACAGCGAAAGTCTCGTCTCAAGGACGTAGCAAATTAAATCTGGGCGGAATTGTGGATACATATCTTAAACGCAACTGCTATCGATATACTATTGAAGGTATCCATGCTATAATTTGGGGAACTCGTTATCTGAGATTTGCTTAATCTTAGCACTCGCGTTCAGAAATTGTTAAACACCATACTTTTTAAATGTATTCACAACGGCTAAATATACACTGAAAAAAAAGATCGGTAGAATTTACCATTCTTTCGCGCTGCAATTCACACAACGTCAATTCTGCCAGAAGAAGGGTAAACGTTGCTATATACTGGTGCAGGTAACTATTTCTTTGGCAGAGGCGACTTGAAGATTGGCAGAATTTACCATTCATTCACGCTGTGTGAAATATAGCGTGATGGAATGAAAGTGCTACCAATCTTTTTTTTCAGGGTATATCCAAATTTTAGCCACACACAAACTTGCGGGCAAGAGAAAATTGCCATTAAAAAAACGCAAGACGAAAATTCACAATTTTTAATAAACAGAAGGGAAATTTTCATCACTCACTACAAAGTAAAAACTGAAGCGATGAGTCTCACGATTAGATTACGAATGCGCTAGACTGGATAGGTCAAATTTCGAGAATTCTTCCTTGGTCCTGCTTATTTTTTTCTCATCAGTAATATAAGAACCTTTGACCTCTATAATGGCGAATCTGTACAGAAAAAATTCTGCGACATGTAGGCAGCAGTTTTTAGATTGCACCACTATGTTTTGCACAGGCTTTCAAATGTGTATCGGTTTCTCATTTTCCTGAATCAGTGTTTTGAATATTGTGATAGGTAATCTTCATAGACTTGATAATATTTCAGGGTTTTTTGACCAATCACATCAACTATTCAGCCTTAATAGCGGGTTTTGGCGTGCCTCCTGAGAGAGTGGAGAGAAATTGATATGCTAATACTATCCGGTCTCCAAGACCGAAATGAAAACTTATAAGGCGGAAGATATTCATCTATTATTGATGCTGCGCATCAACCCGTAGGTATATAAAATTGTACCAACATTACAGCCTGTAACAGCGACTTCGTGAAAATATTCGATTTGTTGTTGTAGAAGTAGAAGAGCAAAAGTCTAGAGGAACTCTCTTGATGTAGCTAGATCGAAACAGTTCATCCAGTCGAGCTAAAATCTTGAATCTAATCGAGCTATCGCGTTGCGTGGCAAATGAGTTATATATCGACGGTGCAAGTCGGCAATCACATAACTCGTTTGCGGTGTCTAAAAATCTCCGCAACTATGTTATTTTTTTAAAGGAGAACAAATGGACATGATTCCTTGAAGTTTTTGCAGAATTTTCCTCGCACATAGAAGAAAAATCACGGCAGTTTTAAAGAATTACCGTTGAGTAGTTTTCCTTTTAAAAAATAAAGTATGACAGGAAGTCTGCGACGTCGCAAACCAAGTTATGTGATTGCCGACTTTCACTGTCGATATGCTGGAAAATACGAAGAAAAATTGAACAATTTCAAATCTACGTAAGTGTTCCCTTCGCGATGAAACGGGAACTAAGCACAGGTAGATTTTAAAGTCTCCCTTTGACCAATAATAGCATCGAATCTTAAGTTTCTAGTGCTAGTAGAACATGCATTAACTCCGTATCTGATAGCGCGTTTTTAACTTTTTCAGATGGAAATTAAAAAAAGTTCCACAGGCTGGGCAATATAGTTGGAAAAATCCTGAAAATTCCCCGCTTCAGATGGTCGTGCGGGAAAAATCGCAAAGGAACATAGATTTTTCATTTTTTCCCAAAGCGATTCATAGACTTGACAACTACCTCAGATGGAAGTTATAGAAATTTCAATGGGCGTCGAAATCTACCGAGAAAAAAAACCTCAGGATTCTGCGTTGCGTATAAAGCACATAGGAGAAGGAATCCCCAAATTCTAAGATTCGGCAATTTCCAGCTTTTTTAAACGAAACCGATTTTTTTCCTTCACAAAAAATCTTTTCATCACACATTCTGAACTAAATACCTGTTTTTTTTCTGGTATTAAAATTAAAATTTTTTTTTTTTTAAATTACCCTAATGGTGGTGCTTTATTAATTTTTTAAGAAAAAAAAAAATAAAAAAAAGAGGAAGAGAAAAATCAGCTTTTTGAGAAAAAATTGGTTTCCATTGCATGGGTCATTAGTCTTCATATCCTCTGCTACTATACTGTCATCAGTGTCATCCGGACGTTTTCGTTAACATCCTCATTTTCAAATTTCGCGCGGAATACGATAGTGCAGCACTCTCTTGGCTTGGACCCGCACTAAATTGATTGTTTACAATCGAGCCGGTTATCTGCGGTTATCACTAAATATAACCTCTAAAATCCCCGGACTCAGTTGGATTTTCGCGTTACTCTCAGTGTTTTCACTCAGTTTTCTTGAACTGAAGTCAGGAAAGTTAATTGTATGTTTGCTCTTATTTTCAAACATTTTCGAAGTAAGTTCCAGCTCAATTTTGTATTTTTACTTTACAAATAAGTATGTCCCACAACACAAACTATTACTACGGGATGTTATAAAACACTCAGATTATTTTTTCAGCATGTGTTTTTTGGTGGGAAGTTGTTCTAAATTATGTGAATTTAGAAACATGCATATAGAAATAATACAGATAAACATTCGCATGTGTCAGTGTGCTCAATACCTCATTAGACTTGTTGCTCTTGAAATGCGTTGAAATGTGGTAAGCGAGTTGCTTAGAGTGAGTAAGAACTTCTCCCAGATTCTACAGAGGTCAATCCCTGAATGAATCCTACCAATAGTTGCTACTGAAAAATATCCAGTATTTTCATCTTCCTGGTCCCTTAATTTCTCTGCCACGGTACAATCTCGTGTCTGAAATTGAAATGTGAACTTGTAAGCCTCATATGAACAGGATTCATTTACATTTGACACATTGACCGCACATAAAGTGTAGACAGGTTTCATCTTATTATATACATATTGTATGGAAAAATTAGTACATCCAATCCTCTCCATTTATACATGCAAATAAAAAATCTCTTCACAAGATTTGTTTCTTTCAATTTTTACAGGTCCTAGTGTAATTAAAGCAACAACTGTCCATCTGAGAACTTCCACAATGGCTACAAACAATGCAACCATGTCACCTAATTTAGTGTCAATCCCGGAAGTTGAAATCGATCCTCAAGGAGTTTTTAAGTATATTTTAATGAGGGTCTATGATGATGCTGGAGACGGAACACCAAACAAACTCGTTGTCAGAGGGACCATAAAAGGAGCCTATCATGGTGAGAGAAAATGCCCTCCTTCTTCTCTCATTTCTTAAGTATTTGTGGTGGAGACGGGGCAATGAAACAACATTCTTGCATTCCCCCACAAAAGGAAGAGATGAAATTGTTTCATTGTTCGTCGACATAAAATTTAGAATTTCATTGCCCCGCACCAAACTAACACGAAATACTTTCTAACGCTTGACCTGGGGATGTGAAACAATTTTATTTCAAGGCACCCTGCTCTTTTCTTGTTGCACTGCTCTTCGGACTTCAATAGGGGTGTTTCACAGGGAAATAATCTACAGGGTCCCCACATTCGCAGGGCTATGAAGTAAAATTTGCTCACAGCCTATCACTGAAAATTTTAGAGTGCAATGCCCTACCCAATGATAATTTGTCTCATTTGCATGCAGTTGCCACAGGATATTCAATCGATCTGTGCTGTGAGCTTTTTTGCACTGTCCCACAAGATGCGGAGCAGTTTGATGATTTCGATGGTGTTCTTAGCAGTCTGAGGCTGGTAAAAGTCATGTATATGCTTTGCTATTGCCGGACAAGAAACTCCAATTTTTTTGACGTCTGGTGTGAATCAGAATTTGTGCATTTCCTTGCATTTTGCAGGAGAGTGCAAATCTGCAGGGCCAAGAAATTTTTGTTTTTTTAATGCAGGGCAGTGTAACCGAGATCCCAGTATCTTAAGTTTTTTTTATTTCACCTAGGTGAGATGTAAGTTAATTTTAGGGGCTGTTCAAGTGTTACGTAAGGCACTTAGAGGGGGGAGGGGGGTCAAGCTGAGACTTACATAAGCTTTCCGCTGTATGAGAGAAAAAAAAAAAAACAAATACCGGCGTTGTGAGCTGTGAAACCCTGCAATTTCAAAACGAGACTTGTTGATGCCGCAATTTTCTTGTTCAGGTCCCCAAAAAATGGAATAAATCATCCTAAACACTGGCATTTCCAAATGTTCCGCCAGCCGCAGCGGCGCGGTATAACCAGGAATAAAAAAAATGAAGTGTTGCTTGGTTTTTTCATATTCTTACATTCTTAGGTAATTCAAGAAGGGGGCTCAGAGATGTCTTACAGGTGCCTTACAGGTGGGAGGTGGAAGGGGAGTGGGGTCAAAAAGTTGGCAAAACTGCCTTGAACAGCCCGTTACCATCAATAGAAGCAACTTCTCGGGTTTTTGAAAGGAAGGCACAAGAGATACAAAAAATTGAAAGTAAAAAAGGATGACCAAGACGGTCAGGTCTTATACCTTGATCATATTTTTTGTAGGAGAACTACAAATTTATTTTTATAAATACAGGTCTTGAATACATGAATAGGTACTCTCTGTTACAGCTAAGCTTAAGTACCCAGTTTTATCTGCACCGATTCTTCGCAACTGTACCTACTCAATTTTTTAACTCCGATTACGTTAGGTGATTATTATATTTAATGATTACTCTATATGATAATCATCATATGTATGTATGAGCCGCTTTTACGGCGCGCTAGGGCGCTCTGCGACGCCTATTCTCCACAGGAATCTGTCATGGTAGAGATCCTCCGGAAGGTGGCATCTCTCCATCTCTTCATGGATGCCCTCTACCCACCGTTTGGCTGGACGCCCTCTCCGTCGCCTACCTGGGGGGACCCACTCCAACACCTTCTTCGGCAACCTGGTATCAGCCATTCTCTGCACATGCCCATACCATACCAATTGCTTGGTCATGATATCGTGCACAATCGTCCCCTCAACGCCCATTATCTCTCGGACACGTTCATTCCTGACACGTTCTCTCCTCGAGATTCCAGCCGATCTTCGCCAGAAATCCATCTCGGTCGCCTTGAGCATTTCTTGGGTCCGCTTCTTCAACTGCCACACTTCACACTTCATAATCATCATATATGATGATAATTATATCTAATGCTTATTATAAATAATGATTATTTTTTATAAATTAAGATTCCTTGCCATGATAATTTTGAGATCAATTCGTTTCACGGCCCCCCATAAGTAAGTAGGTACTCCATAATCTCCAGAGAGCCAAAGACAATTCGACGGCGCGGCGTAAGTCTGCAATCACGTATCTCATTTGCGGTGTCTGAAAATCTCGGCCTCTATGTTATTTTTTTAAAGGAGAACAAATTGACATCATTCCTCGAAGTTCTTGCAGAATTTTCTTCGCATGGAGGAAAAAAAATTGCGACAGTTTTTAAGAATTTCCGTTGGGTATTTTTCTGTTTAAACGTAAAGTACGACAGGAAGTCTGCGACGTCGCAAATCGAGTTATGTGATGGCCGACTTACACCGTCGATTTGTAACCTTACTATTGCCAGGAAAAGTGCCTTCAAAATGGGAGAACGCAACTTCGCTTACGTCTGTGAATCTAGTAACGTGCTTCACGGCTGCTGTTCAGTCAGTCTCGCTCCAAGCAGATTACTGTCCTTTTCGTGCTTAAAAGTATAATGTTACCTTCCGAAGAAGGGTCTTTCTGCGGTTCATTGTTTCCCTACTATCCGTCACTCTGCCATTTTCATTCTGGATGTGGTTGCGGTATAAGCGTAAGCAAAGCAGTTTTCATCGTTTACAATTTAAAAACTTCAACAATCAATGAGTTAGGGTTGATCCAGCGTATTATAATTTTCCTCAATGACGTAATAGGTACAAACGTTGTAGCAACAGGATAGAAGTTTGCACCCTCAAAATTGCCTCACGTTTTACTTAAATCTATCTTTAACCTATCAGTCTGTAAGTTGAGGAGAGAATAACATGATTTAGTAAGATGATTTAATAACATGGTCAGTGCACAGGGCCAGATTTTTCTACTTCCCGCCATGGGCCGCCTGTATTTTGCCGCCCCCTTCTCATTCGTTTTGAAACATCAATAAAAACCATCAAGTAAACGTGCCAGCGGGGGAGGGGTGCATAAGACGCGTTTACTCGTGTTGAACACATTTTTTCGGAAAGCCCTGTCAACACTACTAGCAAAAGGTCACGGAATTTTGCGCGAAAGTCAAGTTTCGTTAACGTACCTCTAATGGACAAGGCCTTCCATTCATGAGAAATGAAAGAACAAACAAGAAATTTGCTTTAATGATATTAACTTCCGTCGCCGCGCCGCGCCGAACGCACCGTGTTTGGCGCAATGCGTGAAGTATTCACGCATTGCGCCGCGCCGACCGTAACGTGTTTGGCGCAATGCGTGAAGTATTCGTGCAGTCTTGTAGGCGCTAATATATGTGTTACATGCCGATTACCGCGCCGAGGGCTTCTCCTTTTCATTTCAAGTCCTCGTCATCATTTCTCCCTAAGTCGCGCCGTTCCAGGCCAAATTGTGTGTTTGGTTTCTCTCTTAACTCGACTAATTAAAGGTGCTGCCTCTTGTATCACTGAAAGACGACAAAATTAGAAATTACTATACTCTCAGGAAATGAGAGATTTTGTAGCCTTTTCTCGTTTGTAACTGTTTTTTTTCTAAATCCGATTTTTTTTATACCTACATTTAAAAAAATTGCAAAATTTGCCTCCCCCTAGATTTGCCGCCATGGGCCGCGGCCCATATGGCCACCCCCTTAATCCGGCCCTGTCAGTGCATTTAAATTCGCAGAAGTTAAAAAAAAAGCGGAGTATTGAACCGATGAAATTAAACAATTTTGTGAAATTTCTAGGTAGGTACAGCCGGTAGTATTTTATGGGTCATCTTGATTCTTTTCTCATATATTTGCTTTTAAAATGCGTTATGAAATAGATCGACGCCGACCTCCCTGTTTTACTTATATTAACAACGAATTTAAACTTTTTGATTGTGGTTTTTTAATTAACTCTTGCTTGAAAGTTTAAATTCTAATCGTTAGTTCTGTTATGACAAAGTGGCTGTGCAAACTTATTTCACGATTGCAGAATTTTTAAAGTTTTTTTCCTCCTTTACTCCTAAATGAAATTTCCACCACAGTATATAATTAAAATGTCCGCAATTTTGTTCCAAACGTTTGAATGCATGATGTCGGACGATTTTTCTATTTAGTCCATGAATACCTGGTTGAGGGATCATAGAGATACAGGGAAGAGAGGACTGGAAAATCTTTTCGCAACCGAGCGGTCGTCAATGTTTGCGCTCTTGTCCTTTTACGAAAAGACTGTGCATCGACATTGGACAGTTTATTTTTTTTTTTTTATTTTCTTAATGGCCCCTCCTTGTAAATCCCTTGGCGCACTTTCTCTCTCCAATTCCCGACTTTTCCCGCCAAGTTGGAGAAGCGTGATGCGAAACTCGACGGAAGTTGAGTAAACTTTGATTGTACGGAAGTGCAGTTCTAAAAGGGCGTTTTCATCCATTGCAATGATCGCTCCCCCGTTTTTGGCTGTAACTGACATTCACATCGGAAAACTCCCAGAGGCTCGTGAGTTTGTGAGTTCGTGGCTCTATTTCGTAGGAATGCTTCAAACCAATTTCAACCTCCACTCTGCCGCACCAAGGAAAAACGCCGTATAAACACCCGGATGTTGCCAGCTTTCCCTTCATAAAGCATTCGTTTTTGAGAAAATGTATGAATCTTTTCCTCTGAAATTTTCAGATACTGTAGATAGAATTGCGAATTAAATTCTCAAAAAAATCAGGAGAAACATATCATCGTGTTTCCTAGAAAACTCGTATTTTATCTGAAGAAATTCGGCTACGCCTGAAGGTTCATACGGCGTTTTTACTTAGCACGGCAGTACTGGAAGTAGGAATCCTCTCTCATGTTAGATGTGAGCGATTTCTTCAGCTTCTTAACACGTCGCTCCTCTGACGAAGGAGCACAACTACCTTTTGGAATGAGCCTCGTCGCTCATAATTCTCCTTACTTTCCACGGCTCATGTGGAAATGCAGATGTGTCCTTACATCGGATGGACCACAAGAGAAACCTCTTGGTATCGTCCAGATTAATTCAAACCCATTTTTACCGAAACTTGAAAGTACACAAGAGTGGTTTCACGATATCTAGAACAGTTTTGTCGCCGTAACAGACAACACACTTGTCGGTCATATTTTTAGTAGAAATGGTAATCACTCAACTTTTTTCGCATTATTCTTCAAAGGGTTACGTATGAGGCTCGCTTTCTAATGTTATGTAAATTCTGAAAATACGCTGTCTGTTACGCGGTGAAAAGTCAGCGTATAACAGACAGCACATTTTCGGCCATTTATTTATTAAAATTGAAAAAAAGAGCGATAAATCTTTGAAAAGCGTTATAACACTTGACCCTGTGTAGATCAATACAAAAAAATTCGAGTGATTATCATTACTGCTAAAAATATGACCGAAAAGTGTGTTGTCTGTTATGGCGACAAAACTATTCCAGTTATCGGGAAACCACTTACAGAGATAATATATTTTAGAGGCGTCACTGCGTTGCATCCACACGCATTAGACCAACGTGATATTTGACCTACAGCATCAGACCTACACACATACGACCTATAAATTTTGACCTCCGCTTTTTTTACCCACAAAATTTTTACTAACAAAAATTTTTGCCTACAAAATGTATGACCTCAAATGGATACGACCTTCAGAGCTGCCGCAATCACACGCTAAATGAGGGAGCAGAATGTGGCTTGAATGCGGAAGTCATCGGCCCGATGCCTGAATTTTGCACGTGTTGCGCAAAATTCAGCAACGATTCTGAGCGACCATTGGATAATGTTGGATTTGAACTATTCGAATAGATTTGATACACATCTGGATGAAAACAACTCGAATTCGCGAAATTTCAGCCGTTGGGCGATGACAGTTGACTTCCACATTCAGATGCTAAATTCAGCGTGTGATTCCGGCAAGCCTCTCAAAAGCATTTTACTGCAACGCAACGGTGGCGCGTGTTTCCTCGACGCCCGTCAAGTGTCAGCAAATGCAGGCAAGTATGTGAGTCATCCCGAAGTGGGCCAGCTCGGACGCAAGAAGTCGACAAAGACAAAGGCAAGCGTCAGAAAGGATGAGTATCCGCGCCTTTTGAAAAAAAGTAGCGAGCAATTAAGTTCTCCCGTAATTAAAGGCAACAAACGCCGCATTGAAACCCCCCGTTGTCGCTTCATCCTAAACACGGACGCTCTCGGATCGGAACTGTCTTTTTTTTAGTGAAGGTTGACAACGTCGCCCTGCTCACGGCTCAAAGACACAAAGTCGGTCTCTTTTCGCCCACCTCTCGTTTTTCTTGCGAGTCCTTTGTGCTATACTCCGGAGGAAATCGCTGAAACAAGCCTGCATTATTCCTACACCGTATTGTCGCGTGCAATTGAGTAGTTTTTAGAGTAACCGCGTATGACTCTCACATTGGCGCTGAGATTGTGCAACCTTCTAAAGGTTTTGCAAAAGAATAATACACATGCCCGCTGAGTTTTCCTTTTTTTTTTGTTTTATGAAAAAACAGGACTTTGCGTAGGCAAAAAAAGA